GAGGACAGCCCTGGCTCGGGCTCGGGCGCTCAGGCCCTCATGCCGAATGCCTGAGAGCCTGCATCCTGCCAAGCTTCATAGGCTGCTGTCAAGTGATCTGGAATTTTGCAATTAGGAACAAGCCCAGAGCCCGATAGGCACAGCCTGCAGCCTGGAGATCCTTGTGTTACTCAATGCTGGCCTCTGGCACAGTACTTCAGTTTCGTCAATCTGTTGCTCTCGCCTACTCCAGTCGCTGCTCCAGCCAGCTGTGTTCCAGTCTCTGCGAGGATGCAACTGCTTCCCGGAAACAGAGTCTGTGCACTACTTTGAAGCTGTAGGCCTCTAAGATTGGGGCTTTGAGCTTAGCCAAAGCTTTGCAGAGATGCTCTTCTTGGAACTGCAATGTCTGCATGCTCCAGGTATCCTGGTGTTTGGAAATGATGTGTATCCCATTGCAAAAGTGGAAGGAAGCATTGTTCCTTTCACGTCCTAGGATACCTCACCGAAAAACCCTAGACCCCAAGCTTGCAAGACTGTCCTCATGCTCTGTTCCGAGCACTGCTTCCTCCAACCCAAAACCTCAGAAGCCGAAGTTTTACAGACTAGAGCCACGGGCAGCCTCTGCTTGCTGGACGAGCTCTTCTTTTGCTAGGCGACTCGGCTGTGTTTGGGAATTCTGGGGCTCTAGGCGAAGGTGCCCCCGACCAGGGACTGCGAGGTCCGGACTCCGGGAACCGCTACCGAAACCTCACAGTGTTCAGAAGAGAGACTAGAAGGCAAAATCGTGCGCCCGTGGGTTCCGCCCAAACCCGAAATTGTTCGGAAGAGAGAGTAGAAGGCAAAAGTGTGCGCCCGTGGTTTCCTAGGTGTTTGAACGTGCTCGCTCAAATTCAACGTGCTCGCTCTTCCCCAACGTGCTCGCTGACTGCCAACGTGCTAGCTCGGCGCCAACGTGCTCGCTGAAATCGAACGTGCCCGCTCCTGGAAAAATTTTCGTCATGGCGTGCAACTCCGCGAAAAAAAAATTTGAGCCAGCACTGTGTCAGCGTTGCCGGGACAATCCTTCATTTAAACCACAAAACCCAAGGGAAACTGCGTGCTCGCTCAAATAAGACCTATCTGCTGGAGACCGTG